TATAACTTCTGCCGTTTTTGCATCTTTTAGCACGCTCGTCGCACTATGAAGTGATACGTACTATAGCACATATTTAGGCTCGTTGGATGCTGTACATCTAGTTTTTGGCAGCATCAATATTCATCGATTATATAATCGGGCTTGTACCTCAGATCATGTATTATGGTATGGCTCTCCTGACGATTCAGAAAAATTAATCGTCGAATTACAGTAGATATACAGAAGATTAAGTGCCACACCTACAAAAACTAGTTAGATTTGGCTGCACCAGTCTACCATACATACGTATATGCATACATATCTAAGTACTGTATATCGGCTTAGTATACCTTAGGATCATTCGGGTTGCTTCGTTGGAGGGTATGTAATTTCTCCAGGCATGCCTTGTAATTGCCACTCACAAAGTCTGCATGCGCAGAGTTGGCTAGTTTATCGTTGCCACCCGTCATCGCGGCGTAGCGTTCCTAATCTTTTTGCTGCTTCGGGCTGAGAGGATTGATTTATCCAAGTGTGTACTACGTAGTGTGTGTGTTGTGTGTATGTACCTATGTAGCACTTCACACACTGTATTTGGTTATACCGATCTATAGTTACGTGTTTAGTTTAATATACTTGTGAATACCTATAAATACTTCGTATATTTGGCTCTCGTCTCACCACCTTTCTCCCATCGGTTGTGCTCTCTCTGTCTCTCAGTCGCTCGCGTTGTTGTTGGGCATAGGCAGTCAGCGTCTCACAGTCCCAAATGATGAGACTTGGGAGTCTGAGACCCAGTCTCCAGACCCTATAAATATTTTTCTCTCTCCGTTTTTCTTCGTGTTTTCTAGAAATAAATAGTTTATCAAGCATATATTGTAAATACTCTCTTGTAGTTCAGATAAACAACTAATCTAAATAAATATATGAGCCAAACTGTCGTCATACACTGTATATAAACAAGGAGAATACAAGACTTGCAACACAGTCTGCAACGACTCAAGCGGTCAGTATTCTTTCATGTAGATCAAAAATACACCATAAATAGACACATCCATGTGATTATCGGCATGTCTACTTCTGTATTCGAACCATAAACCTTGTTGAGCGAACAACGAATTAGCGCTTATTGAAAACAAGCTTGTATAGCTCACCCATACCAGTTCAACAAATTGCCAAAATGCGGTTTCTTTATCGTCTGGTACTGATTGTGGTCTTGATGATCATCATATCGTACGTCACCATACACGAGTATAATGATGACAGTGAAGTGGTCAAGCCCGAAGAGGTGGTTTTTGCACCTTCTGCATTAAATAGGTTGGACGATGTGGCCAGGACTTGTGATGTTACTTCACCAATTAAATGGCGTGAACGGAGGCTACCGGGTCAACACAGGCTGGGAATAGTAGTACCATATAAAAACAGAATGAAGGTGAGAAGAGTTTAGTGTTCTATACTGAAACATGTTGTATTCTTATCTATTCACACTGTCATTGCGCACGGAAGAATAGTGATATGTGCTGTGTGACGTGTATACATATTTGTAGTTTCTATATAGGGTACTAATATCGAAAGGCATCAACACACAAGCACACATACAGACACAAACAAACACACACAAACACACACACACACACACATACATACACACACACACACACATACACACACACACGCACACACACATACACACA